CCCTTCTCGGCTCGCCGCCGTTCCGGGAAGTGCTTCAAAATGAAGCGGTCCAAAGCAGCGCTGCTGCCGCTGCCGCGGGTCGCTCCGGAGCCGTCCTTGCAGCGGGGAAGGGGAGGGCGGGGGGTGGTTCCCAGCAGCTGTCACGCTCCAGCTGCCCCAAGTTTAGCCCTGGCTGCAGGAGGGCTGAGGCTGGAGCGGTTTTGTGTTACAGGGTGACAGCTGCAGCCTCCTCTCCACCCCCAAAACCGCTCCAAGCCCGTGCCCAGCCTGGGGCAGGAGCAGGAGGAGGAGGCCGGCTCAGGTGGCATGCATGGGGCCGGTAGGGAAGGGCAAACTGCGCTTTAAGGGGCCCTCAAATTTTGCAGCTATTTTTGGAGGGGGTGAGGTTTGCATTTTAGCACTCAACTATTTAGTTAACTCCTTCCTCCCCCCTCTGTCTTTCTTCAACTTATTACAAACTTTGTCTTCAGCTTCTGCCTCGAAGGAGCCCCAAATTACTCTCTTGCCCAGAGCCCCAAAAGCCCTAAGGCCACCGCTGCTTGGGGTTGAGCTGGAATTGCATCTCAAAGCCTGAGGACACCTAGAAGACGATAGCTTTTATCAGACAGAGGGAGAAATTGCAACAACAAAAAATGGTGTGTTGGGCCAGGCAAAACCCGTGGCTCCTGCCTGGTAGAAAAATCATGTGGAGCTGCTCCCCATCCAGTGATGACCCCTTTCCAGGCTGGCCTGCCTGCTGGCTGGGAGGCTCTCCCGCTGTTCCTCAAGGAGTCAGGAGCTAGAAGGACTTTTCAGACCCCGTCCTGAGCGCTCGGGGCCAGCTGGGACACCAGGATGCATTGACAGGTGAACTGCCCAATGCCGCCCCCACCTTGCTTGGCAGAGTAGTCTTTGCCTTTTCTCTCAGCAGTGTTTCCCACTGGGGATATCCCACCTGGTTCTGTGACTGCTACAAACTTTCTGCAGAGGCCACTGTGCATGCGGCCTCTGCAGGCACCACGTTGACTCCACTAGTGGGTTACGTAGGCTCCACCGGGCACTAAATAGATGATGCCAGGAACCACCTTAACACGCGGGATTGGGGCCCTCCATGGGCATTCACCAGGATAGTGGGGATCACACGGCATCTCCTTGCTCATGGGAGCATTACAAAAGCTCAGCAACCTCTAGATTTCATGTCATTCTTTCTGTAAGGCGAGCAGGGAATCCGTGTGATACTCAGGAGGGATGACCTGACGCACAATTTTCATGGGGTGTGTCCATGAACTTTCTATCTGAACAAGGAAAACCCTGATGCTCGAGGAGCAGTCAGGTGGAGCAAGGCTGCGATCTAGGTTGCTGTCCTGCCCCAGATCCTTGAGATCAACCATGTTTAATAGTCATGCATCTGTTCTGCTCCATGTGGCCTCAAGCCCCTCCCTTCCCGTCATGGAGCTTGCAACAACAGTTATTTTCCCAGTTTTCCCATGGGAGGGGAACAGTGTAAGTTCTTTGAGGCAGGGACTGTCTGTTCTGTGTTTGTACAGCACCTAGTGCTCTGGGGTGCTGCTCTATGCCTCGGGCTCCTAGGAGCCACAACACTATAGTAAATAAAACAAAAATAATCATGGGAGCCTTGTGTCTCTTAGATAACAAATAACTTGGTCACACCTTATATGGTGAATAAATATAAATTTTTCAAATTGTACAAATATGTACTTAACAATGAACTGGAATGGCTCCAAGCTGTTGCTATACATCTTCTAGGAAAATAGTATCAGCTTTAAACAGATGTCATATTTCTAACGAATTGGAACGTCTGTTCTGTTCTGCATTAGTAGGTGGATGTCTTTTAGACTAGACTAGCATTTTATAGGTCTTTATAAAATATACAATTTTTGTTATCTATATAGCATACATTATTTATATTTATAATAGGCAAACACAGCAAAAACATTAAATAAAGAAATTAATTACTTACTGGAAGCTGATGTTGTACCATAACATAAAATATGAAGATTAAAACACAGGGAAGTGGGTGGGGCAGAATGAGGCTCAACTCTTGTCTGTCTCTCCTTAGCCAGCTGTTGGTTCGTGTCTTAGGTTGTAGGCACCAAATTGAGGCAGGGAGCATCTGTCGTCTTTGCCTTGAACAATGGGGTCTTTGTCCATGACAGTACTACCACTACGGCTCACTCTTCTTCAGCCTTTTTCTTCTCTAGGGCTGCTAATGTTTAAATGGCTTTCGCCACACATTTCTTTCATTGATCAGGCCCTGTGTTATGGTTCTTATTTTCAGATCATCCTTTATTAGGGCTAGTCAGATTCTTTTGTACCATGCTCTTGATCTAACACCCATTAAGTACAGAAAAGGGTCCAGTCCCCTTTCTTTTTTCTTGACTACCACCCAACTTTTCAAGACGTAAGTAAGATTTGATGGCTATTCTGTAAATCTCATGCTATAGCGTGGATAGTATCCTTTTATCCTGTATCACCTTGATAATTCCCTCCAATTATTCTGTGCACCCAGCTCATGATATAGGGACGTCTTATTCATGATAGAACCCAGGTACTTACAGCGATTCATCTCTTTAATTTTCTGCCCGCAGTTTTCTATTACACCCACATGTGCATTTCCACAGATGTTCCATTCGGTCTGCGTTGCATTGGCTAGAAGACCTTTGCTCTCAAGTATGCTGTGCCATTCTTTGAAATTTTCTGGTACTACATCTCTCTGCAAGTCACAAGGTCATCTGTAAGCAACATACCCCACAATACAGGTCTTCTAATGTCTTTGCTCGTTACATCTGTCACCCTAGCAAAGAGGGAGGGGGCTGAGTGCAGACCCCTGATGGACACCTCCTTCAGCGTCAAACATCTGTATTGCTAGTGTTTGTTTTGACTTATATGGAGATATGATGATACATATCTTTTATTAGCCTCATGTACTTTGCTGATACTTTCCTCTTCTTCTCTTAGAACCTAGTCAAACACAAAGTCCATGTATTCTTCTCTCTCTACTTTTCTTGTGGGATTCTGAAGACAAACAGGAGGTCTATTGTCCTTTCTCCTTTTCTAAAACTGAACTACCACCACTGCCATGTGTAATTAATATCTATCAATAATGCAACAAAAGGAAAATATGTCCTCCCAGGAAGATCTGTTCCGCCGTGAATTAGACTCTCCGGGAAAGTTGGGGAGCCCTGTCACTTAGGTCATTTTGGACTGGGCAACTGCATTTCCACTGGTAAAGAAGCAAAGGGGATTGCCCATTATCCAATATCTTTACTCAGTGTGTAACTCCGATTGCTTTGACTCTAATTTTGACAGGGTGCCCACTAAAGTCTTAGTTCAGAAGCTCAACCCTATTCAGCCAAACCCAGTTCAGATGCCACTGCCACATCTTTGCCCTTTGGGCTTGCCCACACTGGGGTGGTGGTGGGTCCTGGTGCGCAGATCCTGAGCATGCCTTGCCCAGCCTGCCTCTGGGTGTGCTGAAATACTCAAACTTAGAAGTTCATCCATAAGCCCAAAGTAGCCTGACTGATGTATTTCTGGGTTTGGAATGTGCCTGGGGCCAGGGCATGCTCAAGTGCTGGGACCCTTCACCACAGTGGTATGGACAAGCTCTTTGAGCCTGTGGCATCTAACTTCAGGTGGCTGTGCTGGGACCCTAACAGCCAGACTGCCTGGGTAATCTACTGAATCATCTTGCCTCTGCCTGGCCCAGTCTTGCCACATCCTTGAATTTTGCCCAACGACTGTAGGATGGGGTGCGCCTGTCATGGAGGTTACAGTATCCGGGACATAGCAGAGAGGATCCCAAAGCTCATCTGGCCCACTGACCACTACCCTATGCTCCTTATCCATGTGGGCATGAATGACACAGCTCACAGCAATCCCAGCCGGGTCACGAGGGGCTACAGTGCTTTGGGAGCAGGGCTTAGGGGGTTGGGGGCGCAGGTGGTGTTTTGCTCGATCCTCCCCCTTTCAGGTTATAGGCTGAAGAGGGAGAGGAGGATCGAGGTAGTTAACCAAAGACTGTGGCGTTGGTGCCATTGTGAAGGCTTCGGCTTCCACGATCACAGTCCGCTCTTTGGTGAGAGAGGCAGTGGGCTGCTGGGAAGAGACAGCCTCCACCTCGCTGCACTGGGGAGGAGGCTCTTCTCAGCCAGAATGACTGATCTGCTCGACCGGGCTTTAAACAAAGCCCGCTGGGGGATGCGGCGACTACTGCCACAGCAAGCCCACTGGGCAACTTTTGCAAATCCAGCAGGCTGAGGCACTCAAGGGAGCCCACCCCTGCCCCAGCTCTGGAACGATGTGCAGGAGGACTAGGGCCTCCAGTGGGACACTTACTTGTCTGTACACCAATGCCAGGAGCTTGGGGAATAAACAGGAGGAACTGGTCCTCCTGCTAAACAAGAATGACTACGATCTCATAGGGATAACGGAGACCCAGTGGGACTCCACCTATGACTGGGCCACAGGTATAGATGGCTATACCCTGTACAGAAGCGATCGTGCAGATAAAAGGGGCAGGGGAGTAGCTCTCTATGTCAAGAAAAGCTATGTGTCCCTGCAAGCCGACATTGGCACCCAGGGTGGATGACTGGAGACCCTCTGGGTTAAAATACATGGAGAACGTGGCACAGGGGACACAATGGTAGGAGTCTACGACAGACCTCCTAATCAGGATCAAGAGCTCGACCAGGAATTCGCCAGGGAACTGGCTGAGGCTGCACACTCTTGGTGCACGGTTGTCATGGGAGACTTCAATTACCCAGACATCTCGTGGGACGAGCACTCGGTCAATTCTGAATGGTCACAAAGCTTCCTCATGTGCATGGATGAGCTCTATCTGACGCAAGAAGTCTATGGACCGACAAGAGGCAAAGTGCTACTTAACCTGGAACTGGCAACGGGGGATGAACTAGTCAGCGACCTAATGATTGAAGGGAAATTGGGAGACGGTGACCACAAACTGATCACATTCACTATCCA